ATCAACATCAAGCTATCAGAGAACACTGTGATATGCTATGGGCTCATTTATTATTATTTGTATCTGTGTACTGTCACAACACCCTAGTCATGGACCAAGCACTGAACAAAAACAATGAGTGCTCTTGTGGCACCTTAGAGAATAATCAAAAATATAAAGAATCAGTTTTGCAGCTGTTTGTGGGACAGGTGGAGGAGATTCCCCTAAGCATGAGGGGAAACACAGAATAAAGGACAAAGACGCTTTTTGAAAATGTAACAAGTGGGGGAGATAGAGGCATTACTGGCTGATTGGACTCTGAACTGATATTTCAGTATTGAACGGCAGATGACAGGAAAGTTGGGGATTGACGGAGAAGAGATCTTAAAAGTGAAGACCAGCAGCTTGTATTTGATGCAATAGAGAAGGGGAAGCCAATGGAGGGATTCAAACAGAAGGGCGACAAGGCCAAAGCAACAGGACAAGAGAATGATCCATGCCACATCATTCTGACATAAGCAGGGCAAGTCTGCATTTGTCAAGTCCAAAAAAAAAAAAAAAAGTTGTTGCAACTATCAAGACATGAGATAAGAGTTTGGTCAAGAGTTGTAGTTGAGTGAATGGGGATAAGAAGAGCCATACCTTACACATGTCATGCTGAAAGCTTCAATGAGATTTAGACAACCATGTGAAGCTAAGTTCCTTCTAAGCCTCTGTGCGGTTTCCTACAGAGACCCATGCAGGGGCTCAGGGCTACAGCAGAAAGAGATACTTCTCCCTAAGCCCAAAAGCTGCTGTAGCCAGGGCAGCTGTGTGCTGGGGCTGGCAGGGAAGCAGCCAGCAGCAGGTTCAATTTATAGGTTTTGGGGGGAGGCATAGGGCTCTGTGAGCTGTCCCCACCCTAAGCATTGGTTCTGCGCTCCCACTGGATAGTACTTGTGAGTGAGTGCAGTGTGCTACAGAACCTCTTGCCCTGAGCCAGACCTGCTAGTTGTTTCTGGGGTGCAGAATAGCACCCCAGGATGGGCAGGCACCAAGTAGCCTTATTTAGTGCCACTGAACAGAAGCTATCCAGGTAAGCCCAATAGGGTCACTGAGGCAAGTTGAAGGGGTAGAGGAGAAGAGCAACTAATACAACTTCTTTATATGTGATGCAGAGAAAGAGGAGAGTTGTAGGTGGGGAAGAGAAAGCAAGTTGAGAGGCAAGGGAAGGATACATAGCAGTTAGTGATTTTTTTCTTGGGAAAAAACGTGCAGAGCGGTTGGAGGAAGAGAGAACCTGAGAAGTGAATCAAGGGTGGCAAAATGTGGTTTGGATTTGGCATGTGCAATTCAGTCACGTTGAAGAAGTAGAGTTCTTTACATAGGAAGACTGCAAAACTGGGAGGCAGGAATGATTTTGTAGTGAGCTGTGGGTATGGTCACAAGAATTCTGCCAGAGATATTCTGTGGAAACGGGAGTGAACAAAATATAAATGAAACAACTATACTAAATGCACCCACCTCATCTGGAAGAGGAAATTTTGTCACCAAATGCCATGGATAAAACACTTCTAATTCAGAATACTAGTCAAAAGAGGAAAGTATTTTGTCAAGCTAGCAGAAATCATAACTATCTCCTTAATCTAGGGCATCCGCCCAAAGTGATATGCTACCTCATTCATTCTCAATTTAGTTCAATATCTATCTGTCTATATATGTATTTGGAATGTCAATAACTGTAGTTTCTAGGGGTATGTCTAGACCACATGCTTCTGCCGACAGAGGCATGTAAAATAGGCTACCCGACATGGACAATGAAGCGGGGATTTAAATATCCCTGGCTTCATTAAAATAAAAGTGGCCGCCGCGATGTGTCAGCTCAGCTGATCATTGGCACAGCGTGCAAGTCAAGATGCAGATTGGTTGGCAAGGGAAGCCTTTGTCGACCGCTCCCTTATGACTCATAAAATGAGGTTTACAGGAGTGGTCAACAAAGGCTTCCCTTGTCGACTGGTCCGCATCTTGACTCGCGCGCTATGCCGACGATCAGCAACAAACAGCACGGGGACCATTTTTATTTTAATGAAGCTAGGGATATTTAAATTCCCGCTCCATTTACTATGTCGGGTAGCCTATTTTACATGCCTCTGTCGGCAGAGGCATGCAGTCTAGACATACCCTAGGTGACAAAAAAATTAAGCTTCAGCATACACTGCACAGGACCGTATGCTCACCTCACCCACCATGCAATGTATTTTATTTTGAATGGAAATGTAGAGTGAGTGGAGAGTACTTTTGATTTATGAAAGAACTGGATTGAGTGATTTGACTGCAATGCCCTGGAGGAGGACATATTAGGAAGTTCCACAGTAAGCCTTTTTATCTGAAAATGACATGTCTCTAGCTCAGATTAGCTTTTTTCTTAATACCAGTTACTTCAGTGATCACAATATTTGTTGAGTGGGAGAGAGATGGTCTGTTAAGCAGTTGATCCCTCATGTGAGATTTTAAAGATGAAAACTAAGAAAAGCAACTATAAGAAAATAGCATATATATATAACAAATTTTAAAAGGGTAAGTTGATAACAATGAATGCAAATAAGAAGCTAGCAATTGTAGAAAATTGATAAGGGAAGGAAAAGGCCATGAAGAGAAATCAATGACCATCAGAACTAAGGGTAAAAAAGGAAAAATGTAAGTGTATTAGGAACAAAAATGATCCTAACAATGGTATAGGCCCATTACTACATGGAAGTGGTAGAATAGTTGATAATATTGCAAAAAAAGTCAGAAGTGTCCAATAAATATTTTTGTTTTGTGTTTGGGAAAAAGCCAGGATGAATTATTCAGACCATTAGAAGATGATGAACAGGGGAAAGACAGACTTGCCACCCCCCTGCGCAAGGTGGGGGAGGCAGCTATGCACTACCAAAAGGGGCAGAGCCTTGGGCAGAATGGGCGGGGCTGGCTCCCCTACCAAAGCAGCTCCCCACCTTGAAACCCCTAGATCACACTGTCCAGCACTCTGGTGACAATTTAAAGGCCCCATCTGCCGCAGTCACAACAGTGGTGGCTAGGAACCCTGGGCCCTTTTGAATCACTATGCCCCAGGGCAGTTGATCCTTTTATGCCTCTCCTTCTCTGCCCCCATCATCAGGTCTCATCGCAACATATTTTCCAATCCAATAGTAAGATAGGGAGAATATTAAACAGCAAGTGCTAATAGAAGGCATTTTAAAGTCAGTAAACTGAGATAACTTGCATCCAAGAATTTTAAAAGAACTGGCTGAAGCATTCTCTATACTGCTAATGAGTACTTTCAATAAGTCTTCGTACTCTAAGGAAGTTCCAAAAAATTGAAAGAAAGCAAAAGTTGTGCCAATATACTTGGTAATTATAGGCCTGTCGGTCTGAGATCAATCCCAGGCAGCAGCGACCTGAGGCAGGCTGCGGCAGCTGGTGCCCCAGGCGGAATGCGCGATTAGCTCCCCCGTCTGCACGGCCGTCAATGGGGTGACGTCATCATCGGGTGTCCCGGGTGCCCCGTGACATCATCATCGGGCGCCGTTGAAGGCGGTGCCCTAGGCAACGGCCAAGTCGGCCTATAGCCATGGGCTGCCCCTGATCCCAGGAAGGATAATGGAACGGGTGATAAGGGACTTGATTAGTAAAGAATTAAAGGAAAGTGATATAATCAATGCCTATGTTTATGTTAAGTTACTTGTTATAGAATTAGCTCAAAAGAGGTTGTTAAAACAACCAAAGTGAGAAAGATAAAACTATAATAAAGCTTTCTGCCCAGACACTCAAAATAGCCAGTTTTATAGTTGTGACGAGGTCTCCTCAGCCCTGATGACATAGCTATTTTGCCAAGATTAAGAAAAAGAGATTAAAAAAAGTAAAAGAAGAGAAAAAGAAAACACTAAGCCATTAGAGGACACCAAAGCCTAGATAATGGTGGGAGTCCAATCCGTGTCCAGAGGTGGCCATGGGAGTGTCAGTGAGAGTGGACAGGCTGGTGAGGGAACACAGGGAGACACAGATAGCCTGCTGTGCTCAGGACAATCTGTTTTCTCCCAACAAGAGAGGTGAATTAGCTGAGATGAAGAGAGTTTACAGAAATCTGGCAAAGAAAGACTGACCCAGGCCATTTATTGTTTCTACACTTGGCTCTGCATGTTCTATGCCTTTGGGGGAATTAATAAATAATATTTTAAAACATTGTTTCTGAGTTGCTTTAATCAAGTTGACTGATTACAAGTTCCCAGAGGGAAAGGGCTTACAGGTGCCAAATTGAGTTGGACTTGTCACATCAACACAGTTAGGAAAAAGGAGTATTGATACCCAGGTACTGAGTCCCAGAGGGCCTGGACCATATGCGTCTTCCCAGAAGACAATGCTGGAAACTGGGCCTATCACCAATCTAAAGAGTTCCAGAGTGCTATAGCAGTACCACTTATTAGCAAATATAATACTTACCAAAATGTACAGTGCTGTGCATTGATTTTTGCAGGACAAAAGTAATTTCACATTCAGGCCCTCAGAACATAAGACTAATAATCATGATTTACAATAATTTCCACAGATGCTTACAGTCTATTGAATTATTTTGTTGGAAGTTTAAGACCCATCATACACTTCTGAGAAACTTAGGGGAATAAAATGTATATATCTCAGAAAATTCTGTACATAGCTTTAAAAGCTAAAGTAAAAAAACACTCACTGTGTGTTGATAACGAGTCTGTCCCACTGCCCTTTAATATCATCTTCTGAAGGTTGTTCTGTAATGTACAGCCCATCAAATTCCAATTTCCTTGCAACTTCCTTTTCACGTTTAAAAATAACCAGTGGAACCTGCAGGAGAAAAATAAACATATGAAAAATTAGTTCAAAATCAGTAAGAGCTCTGGGAGCTACTATCTTTTAAGAACAGCTAGCTGCTTATAAACATTGAATGCACTGATTGAATGAGGCTAAACCAGCAATCTGAAGGAAAAATTACACACTGCACCGTATGTGCAATAACCTACAGTAGTCTTTCAAGCAGTGAAGTATTTGACTAATGCCAATAACTTGAGTATGTCTGGATGAATGAGGCCCATATTCTTTAGTGCCATATAACCAATTTGCACTGCATTGTTTCAATACTGTAGCGTAGCCATTAACCCCAGCAAGGCTCATAAAAATGCAAAGGTGTTTTTACGGTGGTATAGCGCCAATACAATGCACTTTCCCTGCTGTTGGCATAGCAGGGTGAAAACAGACATGTCTAAAAAGCAAGCACATTGGACATGCTCCTATGTCAGGCTCCTCCAGGGTTATGTTAAAGTCCCCAGGATTATTAAAGACTGGCATGAATTAAAGTAGTCCTCAGGCTGCTTTTAAGACATACCAGAGGAAACAGCACATAGAGAGCTGCACTGGGATGAGGGCAGTACAAAAGACATCATCAGAATACTTTTGCGCACCACCTTTGTGAGTGGTGCTCAGTGCACTTTGCTTGCCCCTGAGGATCTGGACTGCCAGGCTTTGTAGGCCTTCTCAGGGACAGAGCGCTCTCTAATAAGCTGAGTGACATTCAAGAGACGAGCCTCCCAGTAGCTGGTAGATTTTCAAGTTCCATTTGAATGGTATTTCCTTAGAAAACTGCTACTGAGAGAAAAGTATATTCTGGTACTGTAGAACTAAAGCATTAATTACATAGAGAGAGCTGTTTCAATGGAAAAGTGATTCTTTTAGGTTCCCAGCACTTTTTCTAAATCTCCCCAAATTCACCTTTTATTTATCCACTCCACATCAGTGACTCTGCACCTAAACCATAATCTATAGCTGGTCAGCATTATGTTGGAACAATAATAATTAAAATGATATTGCTTAATAATAGGTGGATATTACACTTAATATAATAACTGTAGTTCAAATCAAATTTGAAGACAGCTTCATAAAAAGTGTTCAGTTGATTTTACTCACTCCCATTTCAATAGCAATTTCCAGCCACAAAGCTGTCAGACATGTAAAAGCAATACAATTAAGATGGATTTTTTTTAAAAGCAATTTGTCTCTATGGCAGCCACAGACTGACAGTAGAACTGCTCCTTTTAAGACAATGTCTTCCATTCAGGGCATCAGCAACTATGGGAACTCATTATGACAAACTTCAATAGTTTTTTTTAAATTCATGATTAACAATAGAATAAATATAAAAAAGTTATTTTGAGAGACAGTCCATAAAACTTGCACAGAAAAAAGAAAGCCATATCTCAAAAGCTACCACTGCATATGCCATCTGACACCTTGTCATGGAAAATGTGTTTCACTATTTATTGGAGTGGTAGAAGTATTTGAAGTACATAAGGAAATCAGCCAATTGGTAAGCATTTACCTTCATTAGGGAAGCAGATCCTGTCTCTTTGGCCTACTAAAGGTAATCGGTTAAAGATAGGATGGAAAAATAACTAGAAGCCAAATTTCCTACTTCCTGTGCATAGAGAAATGCTACTCATGTGCCTCCTCCTAGGGAGCTGCTGATCTGTTGCTTCTCACTCCTGATAAAACGAGACTGACAGAGGAAGGGCTTGTCAGAGCAACATCCCTGGGAGATCAGTCAGAAACTCTACTCCAACTACCACATATTCTTGACAATATACTTTTCTTGTGCAGCCCAGCCAGCCAACATGCAATGCCGCCATTGTAAAGCATCCTCTCCTGGTCACATGTATCCCACTCTATTTGTATTTGAAAGCCATAAATGACACCTCAGTCAGAACGAGGCTGCATTAATGTACACAGAAAATGGTCACGTGTTCAGCCAATGAGAACATACTACATGCAGGGATTCAACCTCCCCCACAACAGGCTTCACTTTCTGAATTCATGTGAGTTTCGTCACAGGCTTATATAAGGGAAGACAGCCAGATAAGGGCTCTTCATGGGGAGGGGTTCCAACCCAGTTTGTGCAAAATTCCTGTGATTTTACTCCATTGCACATCACTCAATGGAGAGCTGTAAAGGGGCCTAGAAAAAGAAACAGCATTAGCTCTTCAGCCTCTTACTTTCAAACAGTAATATCCAATGATGCAGAAAAAGGAAATGACTGTGTGCAGGATTGCCAAAATTCGCAGCGTGGGTTCCATATAGCCACTGCTTTCTTCGAGGACATAGTGCACAGTGATGATCCTATGAGAACCACTTTCCAGGCCATTTAACTTGGAGTTTTCCTCGGCCTTTATCACAAGAACTTCCTTTTCTTCTATCACAGCAGAGGTGGAAACCTATTCAAATCACAGTCAGCAGGACAACTATTTCATTTGACAGGAGATCTGCATTTCTACAGGCTATGTATCATACAACACAAGAGACAACCCCAGGGTAATGTAAGTGAGGAAAAGGAAACTTTTTGTGAAGAAAGATGCACTAGAAATACATTGCAGAGATCCCTCCACTTCACTATACTGGAACAGTGGGTTTTGCCATTTTCTCATCAGCAAAAAGCTGCTGTGAACTTGACAGATCACTTGGGATCCAGAGAAGGCCATGTAAATCTTGGTGAAGATCCTATAACCCACATTGCAGCTTGGATCAATTGTACGATGAATCCCTGATAGCACATCTATGCCAGGGAATCGTCTAGGTCTGGCAGCTTGTAGGGTCAGTGGAAAAGCAAATATAGTATGGAATGGCACTAAGTGTATGTCTACACAGAAAAGTTATTTTGAAATAACAGCTGTTATTTCAAAACAACTTTACCAGCGTCTTCACAGCCAAACTGCTATTTCGAAATTAATGTGCTGGGGGACAGTTGGGCCGGTAAGACCCCCAAACCTGAGCCCTGAGCTTCTCCTCCCCCTTCCTCCCCTTGATTCCCCCTGCCAGCTCCCTCCTCCCAGGTTTCCCCCTCCCCTTTCCC